GGTCAATTCCTTCCGACACGACTTACGACATCCAAATGTAGACCCAGCCTTACTGACTTTACTGGCGTGCGAAAAACGCAGCACCAGTAATTTTCATTGCTACCAACTATACTGTTTTCACTGGCAGTAACTGAATCCATTTTCGAACACATCCTTGGATGTCGTAAGTCGTGTCGGAAGGAATTGACCAATCACAGTTCATTATTCGACTTACGACATCCAATGTAGACCCAGCCTTACTGACTTTACTGGCGTGCGAAAAACGCAGCACCAGTAATTTTCATTGCTACCAACTATACTGTTTTCACTGGCAGTAACTAAATCCATTTTCGAACACATCCTATGCAATTATAATTTCGTGTGCGATGGCCCTATCTCTGTTTTTATCGACATTTCATGCACATAGCACGGAATACAACCAAAACGTGCGCATCTGCGTTATCCGCTTAGTCCAAACATGGACATCATCGGCTACGTAGTTCAGGTCCATGTTTTCAATATCCACAGAGGGCGTATCGCTCAAAACTGGATCGTGACAACTGACAATCGTTCTTACGTTTTGCATGTTCTGCGAATTTTCGCTGTATTATTCTTCACAATCCTGGCATTCCCGTTCTAGTTTTTTCCTGTCCACAACTGTTTCGCAACATTCCAGAGCTCACTCAGAATTTATCCTTTCCACGTATCGTTCGTGTTGTGTGCACAATTACAATGAATACGAAGGAGAAGGAAAAGTACATCGAGGAATTTGATTTCCCGTATTGCGACGAGTCCTCCAAGTATGAGAAAGTCGCGAAAATCGGCCAGGGTACTTTTGGGTGAGTAAAAATCTTTCGTTTACACGTCCTATTTAAGACGTACGACACACGTAAGAGGACACACGTTTCGTCAAATGATTTTACACCGACAATGACTGATACGAGCGAATGTGACATTAGCGTCGCGAGTTCTTTTTTTTCTCAATAAATACATGCTCGACACAAATGCTCGGCTGCTTTCCTTTTAAGGGACAAGTCGAAACATTCGAGCACAGTTTGCTGTAGTTAAATAACCAAAATTCAACGACCGAGAGTCTATCGAAACACGGCGAACGAATGCGTTTGATATAAAAAATACTCTCCTCCCGAGCGGAGTCAAAGAATATCAATCGAGCTTGAATCAAACTCGGAAGTGGAAAGCGACGTGTGTCGATTTATGTCATAAGCGTTGGTTGTGTCCTAAAGGGAAAGCAGCCTTTGTTAAAAAATGTTCAAAGTGTATAAAAAGAAGCTGAACGCGGCTCCGGTGCACAATGCTGAGGTTAAGAGTATCCCCAGCGTTTGTAATTCGAGCGCGTTCGTCCTCCTGAATTTTATTTACAAGTAATTTACGGTTGACTGTTAAGGCTCGTCTAGAATACATAGTAGGTAGAGTAAGCATGGTGTAAGCAGCGAGAATAAGAATGGAAGAAAGCCATAACTTATATCTCTTGATTCTCCCTTGACGCCCGGTCTACAATGAGTTGTTAGTCGTTAGTCAGAAGTCGGAACTATATGTCGATCCTTTTTCTTCCACCCAGAAAAGAAAAGGATCAACATATAGTTGCGACTTCTGACTAACGACTAACGACTCATTGTAGACCGGGCCTTATGGAAACGCCGTCTACCTGCCGGCCATAGCGTAAATATAGCGTACTCTGTCCTCTTAACTGTTCCCGTTTCACTATCTTCCCTGTATTCTTTTCTCCTCTTTGCAAAAAATATATTAAGCGAAGGCTCTGTATAAGACCAATAATGTTAATTATGGCAAGGGCGATAGAACCCTTTGGCGAATTTAAAAAGATGTTTGTATTTGGATGGAAAAGAACAAGAACACACCACTTAGTTCTATTGAATATTGAATATCGATAAATATAATTATCGTCCCAGCAAACATAGAACATTGTGCAATATTGTAGCAACGTTACAGCAACGTTACAGCAATGTTACAGCAATATTATAACATTGCCGTAACATTGTTTCAATGTTCTGTGTTTGCTGGGGTCAGACGTTTCGGTAACTAAAGATAAAATTCATTGTTAGATTATTGTATAATCGTTGCGAAGAAACGATTTGTGATTGATTTTGGGTGTTGAAAAACTAACTAACAACTCATTGTAGACTAGGCCTAAGACCCTGAGCAGAATGGCTGTCTTGTGCTCCTAAGACACAAGACAATTATCATGCATTACTTTTAAGACAAAGACTTCAAAGTACAAGACAGCTCAGGCCCTAACGCAGCAACCTCATGATTAATAGGCACCGTCGTTGCACTTAATTTTCTGACCATTGTTGTTCTTTTACAGAGAAGTATTTAAGGCCAAGGACAAGAAAACGAACAAGAAGTTTGTCGCAATGAAGAAGGTACTAATGGACAATGAGAAAGAAGGAGTAAGTTTGTTTTGTATAATTATTTGATTTCAAGATTGCTCAAGAGATTACCTTAGTGTGCTGTGCAATTAATTCCCTATTGAGCGACATCCTGTTTACTCAACATCTTCTAAACTTTATAATTTTTTTCATACCGTCAAAATCTTATTACAGTTTCCTATTACGGCGTTGCGGGAGATCAAGATATTGCAATTGCTGAAACATGAAAATGTAGTCAACCTCATAGAAATTTGTAGAACTCGAGGTAAGTATATACTTCACCTTTCATCTACCAATCTTTGACTTTTATAACAATCTTTTCTAAGTAAATTATAAACGTGAAGACTTATTGTTTTACTTGGAACAGAATATTCAACGAGATACGCAAAAACTTGAAATTATCCGAGAGTCTGTTGGAAAAATTTTAACAATTAGCGTTAAATACTAATTAAAACAGTTGGTACTGGCGTATAATATAATAAAGTTTAATTAATTTAATAAAATTTTCAGCAACTCAATATAATCGGT